TCACACCCTCTCTATTTATAGAAGCAAGAGAGTGGTAGACGGGAGGTAGGTGAGCGGTAGGTGAGATGTGGTATGTGAGCGGTACCACATTACAAAAGTGTCCATTTACCTTAGTTCAATAATTGGGTCAAAATAACAAAATTTTATCCCAAATAGTTGGTATAATGCGAATAATGATCATGACCATTCAACGTTTGATTAATGATAGTTAATTCTTGAGCAGAGCTCAGTTTGCACCACATGAAAGCAATCCGATTAAAAAATATGCTGCAGATGTGCATGGAGAAAAGCTACTTAAATGAAATCAACTGCAATGAGAATACAATGAGAGATGATTTCTCTTTGAGGCTCAAGCTTCGGAGAGAAAACCCTGAATTCACATGATTCTCAAGGATATGCTCAGCAAATTAATCTATGCAAAGGTGAAAAAATAAATAAATTGCTTTTAAACAATAGAAATTAGAAAATTTTTGTAGAGTAAATACCCACATTAAATGTTAATAGGATTACCTCACTTTTCTGATCACTAGATATAGGAATATCGCTTGATGATAAATGTGGTTGGTTATTCCTATCTGAACTGCAAAACTCATCTAATGTGAACTCCCTCAAATCATCCAAAAAATGAAAAAGGTCAACTTCCTTGCTTACAACTTCAGAGAGAATCCCAGAAAACCCCAAGAGCCCTTTTCTCAAATGATCAATGACCAACATGCAATCCATCAAGTTCATTGCAAGTCTGTTTCTTTCCTCAAAATGACTAAACATGATGTGATCAAGGCGTGAAAGAAAATCATCTTTTTGTTTAGAATATTCTGCAATGGAAGCTTCTGCCTTCACAAGTTCATCCTGGAGAACATCATTTCTTTCTTGAACTTCATTCAATTCAGTTAAAAGAAGTTCCGCTGCCCGTTTAGACTTGTTCGCTTCACATTCAGCTGCGGCAGTTGAAGAACGCATATCAAAAATTATTCTGTTAATTACACCGAGCTTTTCAAATGGGTCGATATCATTGGCCTCACTCTGTAAATCAATAGCATGCAATGCGGTTAATAATCCATTGTAATTCCGGTTGCTATGTTGTAAATTGAGTTCCACATCGGTCAATTGGTGCATCAGCAAGGATTTTTCAGATATCAAGGCTTCTGTCTGTTGGCTGTGATCAATCTTTAATTGCTCCAACAAAGCATTCATCTCATCCACAGTCTGCTTCAGGCTATCCCTCTGTTGCACTAACCCCTTTCCTTTTCTCACAGCAAGATTTAACTTTTCTTTTACAGAAACAGTTTTTTGCTCCTCTTGGGTTAATTGTTCTTGTAAAGAATTTCTCTGTTTTCCCATCGCATCCAACTCTAACACCAAAGACTGATACTTCTCGAGATCTGCATTGCTATCCACATTCAGTGCTTCAATTTGCCTCTTTAGATCCTCTACCTCCAACATCAAAGACTGGCACTTAACAAAAATTGCATCCCTATCCTGCTCCACTGAAGCCAACATATTAGAAATTCGGTCCATCTCTAAACTCATTGAAGCCAAGTCTGATTCTTTGGCAAGCAGTATTTCTTCAGGGACCATGTTAACATGAACAGGGCAGCTTTCATCAGGCACCATTTTACCATGATCTGAGCTGCTTTCATCCAAAAAAGTTTCATTAATTGGAACAATGTTGCTAGATTTATTTAAATGACCAGTATAATTATCAATCAGCTTTCTTAATGCATCTTCCAGCTGCTCAATAAGACTGCCACCAGAAAGGAAGTCAGCCACATCATTCTCCGTCAAAGTACTACTGACCAAAGAATGAAGTATTTGCAAATGATTCTCCATATCCTTATAATATTCAAACTGAGCATTGTCAATCAATTTATCCTGCAAATCATTTAATTCCTTTTGTAAATTTTCTCTATCTTGTTCATCATTAAAAGCCTTCTCTGAAAGTGCAAAATGTTCATTCCTGAGATTTTCAAGGCTTTCAGACAAAAATTCTTTTTCAGATTTCACAGCTAAAACTTCAGCAGTAAGTTCTGATATTTTCTTATGTGATTCTTCAACATCAACTATGAGCATGTCCGAAGATAACTCCAGATTATCAATCTTCAGTTGCAAAGAATCCCTTTCTTGTTTCACTTCTGAAAGTACCCTTCCTAACCACTCAATCTTATCTTCAGGCTCCATTGCTTTCATGTGAGAAGGTAAAGCAATTCTATCCAAGACTTCTTCCCATTTCTGCACAAGATTATTCCTCTCCAACAACGACTGTTCCAGCATCTGGTTATGTTCAGCTAGTCTATAGTACTTGCCTTGAAGTTCTTCATGTTTTTGTTTCAATTCATCAAAATCTTCTTTGGACCCAGGCCATCTACAGTTCTTATTAGCATCACTAACCGCATACCCTTCAGCATCAGAATGTGCACGCTCACCTAAACTTTTCTGATCCAAATCTGTCACAGTTGAAGAATGATCAATGGCAAATCTGGAGAGAAGCTCAATCTTTTCTAAAATATCTTTTTCATGGAAATCATTCGGTAGTTCCAGATCTTCCAGAACTTCTTCAATCCTCTGAAGCACTGAATCTTTCTGTAGAAAAGAATCCCTCAACACAGTTGCAGAATTCCGAATATATGAGAGCTCAGACTCCAAAGCTTCAATGCGTTCCACTTCCAGACAGGACTTGAGTTTTGCCTCAAGTTCATCCAGCAATGCCTCTTTTAACAGTAAGTCCTGTGCAGACTTCTCAAGCTCACTAGTTTTTTCCAGCAAAGACTGCTTAAGACCATCTCGTTGCACAATTAAACCTTTGCCTTTTGCAACAGCTATGCTAAGCTTCTCTCTCACAGAAGAAAGTTTCTGTTCCAATTGTTCCACTTCAGATGCTTTCAGTTGCAATTCATGACAAGATGCTTCTAAAGTCTCCTCAACCTTGCTCAAACCCTCCTTTAAAATTTGAATTTCAGTTTCCTTCTGCACATCTGAGACAGTCAAGGCCTTCAGCTTTTCATGAAGGGTAATCACCTTAGGGATGAGTACATGACCGATCAAGATGGGCAGTGGCAAAAAGCATTCATCAGCTGCTACTTCCATTTGCTCATGAGCATCTAGTAAGTGATTCCTCGACAATATTACCTGCTCACGAATTTCTTCATAGTTATGAAGATAAGAAGAAACCAACTCCTCAAGCCGTAATAGAGGAGAGTTCAACGAGTCGACAACAATACTAGCATCTTTTGAGACAACCACTTCATGGTCCTCCAACTGATTGACCAAAAGAAAGCACCTTCTCTTTAGCTCTTCAATCTCTTTTGTTTTATTTAATAAAGTATTTTCAAGTTCATCTCTAATACTACTTTTAAGTTCCATCTCCTTGAGTTGTGCATTCAACTTTTCTATTTCTTGGTTTCTGATTGAGAGATCTGAATCAAGCTCGGTATTTCTAGACATTAGACAAGCCCGCTCACTCAACAGCTTCCGCAAATAATCAATAATCACTTCACACTTTTCGGGCAGAAATTCCAGCACTTTCTCAGCATCGGAAGTAATGGCAGCATCCCCAATATTTTGTTGGGCTTCATGTATAAGTTCCAAGAGGTTACTGTAAAATTTATAAAATAGCTCAACAACAAGAGCATGCCTTTTTTCAAATCCCACGAAAGAGTTCTTCAATTCTTTGTGTGAATCATGTAGTGTGCTATAGTTATGATTACTTTCTTCAAGTTTACCATTCAGATCTTCAATTCTTAAAATAGCAGCATCAACAGAGACCATTACATGTGATGTAGTGTCTAGGTCTTCTAGGACCTTCAATCCAGTAGATGCATCAAGCCTTCTAAAAGCTTCCGAAATCATGCCCAACAGGACATCCCTTTCTTGCTTCAGAATAAATACCTCTTCACCAACATCTCTCTTCAACGATTCTATCTCATCAAGAAATCCAGCTGCTTCCCTGTTGAAATGTTGAAAAAGCTCATCTATATGGTTAGGCATTTCATAAAATTTAGACTCATAATCAACAACTTTATTAGCAAATTCATCAAATGAAGCTTGTAAACTGTTATTTTTATGCTTTTGAGTTTCACAATCCATTTTATACTTTTTCAAGGCTTCTCTAAACTGCTGGCTGTCCATTACATGCATCTCAACCTTCCCCAGTTCCAATCCCATCCTGTTAAGTGTATTGCTGAGACTTAAAGTTTTCTCTTTTGATAAAGCATATGAATCATCTGGCCTTTCACCCAGAGTTGACGGCTCCTCATCTACAACATTACCAATATGATGAGTTTTTGACTCAAACGCTTTAATTAAATTTGACACCCCAGTTCTGGTTGCTAATCCGCTTGACCCACTCAAAGAAAGAGAATGAGTGTGCATCACTTGTACAGACTTCTCAATATCCTGCAGTATAGTTTTTGCCTCTTGAAGGTGCTCCTTCAATACTTTCAACAAAGCATGGCCTTCAGAATCTTTCCCATCAACCTTCTGAATCAAAAACCCATAATCATGGAATAACGAGTTTGATTTCAATTTAATGGTGGAAGACAAGTTTACATTAGGTTCTTCATATAACGGCTGGGATATATCACTGGTGCAATTGATAAGACCTTCATTGCTAACTTTACCTTTTTGAGCATGGCAGAATGGCTCAAAAGTCCAGCTCTCCATCTCCTTAATCTTAGCAATACAGACATCAAAATTGCAGGAAAGATAAAATTTCTCCTCAGCAAGTTGCTCAAAGCATGACCATAAATCTCTTAAATTATCCTGCAGCTCGTTTTTCTTCTCCAGTGCAATCTGCAATTTCTCCTCCTTTGCTGTTAACTCAGATAAAATGTTGATATTCTGAGTAGAAAGAGAGTCTCTCTCATCTGCAAGTTCCTTCTTTGCATCAGTTTCTGCCAAAAGAGCTGCTGTAAGCTTGATTTGCTCGCTTGAAAGGAGCTCCACCTCTTCTACAAGTTTCTCATTTGCACGAGTTTCTGAAAGGAGACTTGCTAATAATTTTGAATTTTCCTTCTGCAAAGCATCCACAGAGCCCCGGCAAATGGCTAGTTCATTTGAAACATTCAATAAGTCATCTTGGGATTTATGAAGTTCAATTTTCAAATTGGTGCACTTAATATGTTCCTGCTCAATCTCCTCCCTTGCTGTAAGACGGACGGTTTCCATTTCGTCTTTCATAATAGCCAAAGATTGAAGCTCAGACTTGCATTGTACAAGTTCTGCAGATAAAATTTCATTGCTTTCTTGAGCCTTATTAACCAGATCAACAAGCCTGTGTAATTCATGAAAAGAATGTTGGCGAAAATCTTCATTTAATTGTGTCTGCTCAACCAATTCCAACTGGAGGATATCTTTTGCAATATAAGATAGGTAAAGATGCCCTTTGACACCCTCAAGTTCAACAGCATAGCTTCCTTTTATCAGCACACCATCTTGTTCAAACTGCCCCTTTAGTGAGGAACCCATCTTTATATACTCATGTAGAGGTAAAACTACCTCCTCGGGAGCATCCACAATGATCTCCTTAACTGAAACAGTCTCCTCTAGATGCCTACCCTGACATCCATTAATGGTGGGAAGACAATCCATCGGAAAACAATGTTCTATGGCTCTCTCATTAGTTCTTTCCCCAGCTTCCATTTGAAGTTTCTCATTGTTCACTGAAATTTCTAGGGAAGAACATGGTGTTTCAATTTTTTTCTCAATAAAGGTGCCTTCATTAGAATCATGACAAAGATTGATGCCTACATCCTGAGAATCTCCAGCCAAACCAAAATGTTGATTGGTCTCTTCAGCTCTTGGTGACCCATAAAGAACAGGGCCACCAGTTGCTTTCAATTTATCTTCAAATACATGTTTCTCATAATCCTCTACCTTCTCATCAAATGATCTCTTCTCTGACTCGACATCAGAAACTACAGAAACTTCTTGATGACTAATTCCAGCCGGTGCACATGTTATTTGAGACGAATCAGGATTTTCCAAATTTTTTTCAGGATAAGTATATTTCTCTGTTTCCTCAAAAAGTCTGAGATTCAACCCTGGAACTTGAACTCTATCAGCTAGAACAGAAGATCCATTTGTCTCCTGCAATCCAACGGGTTCATGAAGTGAACTGGAGGATGTTTCTCTCCCCATGGCTCCTTTCTCCATCAGAAGGCTACCCCCATTCTCTTTATCTGAAAGTACTCCGTGTATCTCATAAACAACTGGTGATGAAGAGGAAGGCCCAGCAATCTCATGACTAACACTTGATACGCCATTTGATTTTTCTAACAGCACTCCATGAGCTTCCTGCATTGGCCCTACCCAGCAACAAATGAGAATAAAATTATACATCACCCCCTCATCCATTTTTTATTCCCAGCCCAAATTAAAAAAATAATGCATAGATTTCCCTTACCTGGATATTAAAATCACCAGTAAGCTGCTCCAACTCCAACCTCAGTTCCTCGGCTCTCTGATCTGCTCCTGAAGCTGCAGCATCCAATGTATTGGCATCGAACACATCAACAGCAAGTTCTCTGCTCTCACCCTCATTCCCCGAGTTGGTGACTTTGCTTGAGGACTTCGGATGGCTGCCACCGGCCTTGCTATCTTTCTTCTGTCTGAATTGCTGGAGCTGATGCGCCAACAAAAAGATTCAGATATTTTAAATCAAAAATAACATAACCAGGATTTGATTTGCCTCAGCGGGAGACTATAAACAGAGAAAGAAAAAACGAATGAATAAAACAACGAAGGAGATTACCTTCTTGCGGCCAGCGGCAAGCATATCCGTCCTGCTCTTGCTCTTATCCATACAGACAAACAAAGAAGCAGATCTCTGAGGATCAAACAAGCTTCGACGGCATCAATCACAGATCTCGCATGCGAATAACTCTATGCGCGAACTTGAAGAGATCAAAGTGCTCCGGCTTAATTTGTGAAGCAGAAAAACCTAATTTCCAATAATCTGGATAAAAATGGAGAATAGATTCAAAGAGAGAGACAGAGATGGAGAAGGGTTTATTGACGTTCTTCTTCTTTCCCCTTTGTTTTAAGAGATCAAAGTGCTCCGGCTTAATTTGTGAAGCAGAAAAACCTAATTTCCAATAATCTGGATAAAAATGGAGAATAGATTCAAAGAGAGAGAGAGATGGAGAAGGGTTTATTGACGTTGTTCTTCTTCACCCTTTGTTCGCTAGTTGGCGTTGGGCTTTGCTTCTGATTTTGCGCGTTATGTTCTTTCACGCATGATTTCGATGCGTCAGAGATCTGATTCGATAATCGTGCATTGCGGACATGGGTTCGGTGGGTCAAACCCTAACTGTCCCTTCTTTGCTTTGTCCCGATTAGTAAAACTATTGCATCCGGTTTCAGAGCAAAAGTTGAGTCCAAACAAACGGTTTGGCTTTAGCGCATACATTGTAACTTATTTTTCCTCAATTATAGGTGTAAAAAACAGTCGAATTCGAGCAATGTCTTTATCGAGCTCGGCTTGTAAAAGTAATCGTCTGCTCACGAACTTGACCAAAAAATTTTTTTTTACTACTGGAAAAGATATTGATAGTCCGATGAGGAGTAAGAGGAGGAGGCAGTGAAAACTCACTCACTGGCTTGTTGGCTCGTTGAGTTTAAAAATGACGCTGGCTCGTGAGTTTAGTAACTCGTTTAGTAAATCACTCATCTTTAATAACTGAGTAATTTACATGCAAATCAGCTAATTTTTAACATCATATTAAAATTATCACTAGCATTACCTTTTAAGCAGTGAAATACACTTCTTCATACATAGGTTTTTGATAACATGGCATTATAAGTCTAAATATCAAAGTTTGGGTATTAGAAATGTAAATACATAAGAATTGTGTGGTATGTTTTAAATTTCTTCATTATATTTGATATATGCTAGAAAATTTGAGGCGGATTATCATCTTAGCATTGCACGAGAATTCAGCACACACTCAGGCAAAATAAAGCAACCAATAATGACAACAAAAAGTGTTATGTGAAAAACACCTAAAGAAAAAAACCACGAGGTTTAACCCAGATGTAAAAATTCATCATATGTTGATGATTACAGATTTGTCCCACGGACGAGAAATGATTACTAGGTTTTCCAAGCTACAAAGTCGACAGACGGCTTCTAGTCGGTGGTGCTTGACAGTGGTCAACAGTTGACAACTGTCGGTGATGGTTCACAGCGACAATAGTGCTCGATGGTGGTCGGTGGTTATCGACGGTGGTCGGTAGTGATTGGAGGTGGTTGGCGGGGGTTGGCGGTGATCAACAATATTTGTCGGGTGTCAAATGCTGTCAACGGTAGTCAACAACGGTCTGAGATAGTCGTCGACGGTCTGCGATGGTCTATGGCTATCGACGATGGTCGACGACGATTGACAGTGGTCGACGACAACCGACAACGATCGACAGCGACATGGGTGGTGTTGGACTTCAGCTCATTCTCAAAGTTTTAAGTTCTCTCTCAAGCCTCAAGTCTCCTCTTATGAGAGGGGTGAGACTCTATTTATAATATTATGCGTGCAATGAATACAAGAATATGAATCACTTTGATCAGACGGTCCAGAGGGCTTCATTTCATCAGGCGGCATTTGGTGGACATTTGAGTGCCTGAATGATGTCATAATTGAGCAATCTTGAGCTCGTTGGATTTGTCTTGTTGAAACATTCGATTCAACTATAGACTTGCCAGATTTGGCATTCCTTTAAACATCTAAATATGTCTAAAAAACTTGTAAGAGAGGTTTAATGACTTGATCTGAGCTTGATTTGACTCGAATTGGACTAATCTTGATAACATTGGGTTCTTCTTGTTGAGTCAGTCAGTTTGAATATAAGTTTGTTGACCTCGGATTTTTTGATGAGTTTTAATCAAGATTTGAATATTTCTTGCTTAAAAAACCTTCTCGAGATCTATGTTGTGTCTCGAGATTCATGGTGAATGATGGATATTTGTTGGAGATGTATTAAAACAAAATAACCAATCTTGACAAATGTTATATTTAGGTGAAAAGTTTTGTATTACTTTTTTTTATGTTGTATGTTATCTAAAAAGACAATAAAAATAAAAGTTGTTAGCATCATAATATCTAAGGTTGAGCAAGAAAAAAATTGATTGTATCTTAATAAGAAACAAGGTAATCAAATTCTTTGAATTTTATTTAAAAATGAAAATTAAAAAAGTCAAAGAAGCTAAAAACAAGGCTTCATTATATGGATGAAGTTCTCCCCATGAGTATATTTACATGTAAACTATACAATTATGAAGCACAGATTAGACGTGTCAACCTAACCTGAGTTGGGTTAACTAGCACAGTCGAGTAGGACGGGCACTCTAGCACATTATAACCATATGTACAGACACCTTGACTCTCAATAACCACACCATAATCATCGTAACTTATAGCTAAGAAGCTAACATAGGTGATATGTTGATGCAATTTTATCATGTTGGTACTCATTTGTTATTATATAGATTGTTTGCAAAAGATTTTAATTTCTTAGAGCCATTGAAACTCTATATGTCATTGATTCATGGACCACATATGCTACTCATTCTAATGTAAGAAATAGTGAGACATTTTAGTTTTTTTCTTAATGACTGAATTAGAGATGATGGATCTTTTTATAATTATTCATGTCAACATCATCAAAACTTTGCTAATTTATTCATGAGGTAAATAACGTGTTATGGTTTGATCATTGATATGAGAGATTGTCAATAACATTCTTTATTAAACCACAATCACGTGTCTGGATTGGTCTGATAGATTAGTTGTGCATGCTTAGGATAATATCAATCAATATTTCAATCATGAGGGGGGCTAAACTTGCAACTACCCAAACTATTGTTCGCTTCAAACTAATGACCTTGTGATTTTATCCACTTATTATTATTTCCAGAAAATCATTTTGCCCCATTAATACTGTCGCATGTGAACAATTACTTTTGAGTATTTCATTAAAAATTTATTTGTTAAACTGAAAACTATCTTAAAATTTAAGCTTAAAATTTAAGATTTTAACTTCGTTCTATTTAAAATGTTTTACAATCTCTTCTATTTCGAGAGTTTCATTATAGTTTTCTAAGACAAGGAACTCATTTTCTCCTTCAAAATAGACACCATAATTATATTCCATAATATTTATGGTATATTCATCTCTCTTGTGACCAAGATTGTCATAATTGGTTTTTAATTACTAGTACGTTGGCATTCCCATTTGATTATGCAATAATCTTTAAGGCATCTTACTGTCTTTATGATATTAGATCTAGGCAATTTTGAGCTTGTTAGATTTCTTTCCCTGCAATGCTCATTTTGACTTCAAACAATTAAGATTATGAAATTATGAAATTTTGTGCTTATGATAAATCAATTCTTATGATGTCATTGTAAATACAACAATTCAACAATGTAACATGATAAAATAGTCGACTATGCCAATGAAATTATGAAATTTTTTTTCCTTTCTTTGATTAGAGGACCAATTATAAATTACAAAACACTAAATTGAAAAATTATCAAAAAAAAAGAGAATACAAAAGTAATAATAAAATCTAACGACAATAATCAGGGGATGATAGTCATAAATGATGATTATCGAGCATAACAATTGGACGACAACAAACAAGCTACAATGATGAAGAAATGATAAATGAGCTATTATGACACTTGAGCGACTATGATAAGACGGCGATGTTCAAGCAATTATAGTCGGGAGGTTGTGGTTGCTGGCGTTGATTATCTGTGTTGAGTGTTCGATAGAGTTCTAAAATAGTCCAAATTTTAATTTTTTTATATAAAATATAAAAATTTATTATAATTTTTTAAAAAATCATTTTAATAATCTTAACTAAAATCTCAACATACTCACTTGGATGGTCCAATACCATATAAAATAAAATTTCATACTCAAATTAAGAAAATACAAATAGCACTACAAATTAATTTACATATTCATGAAACCATGAAATAAAAAATTGCACTCATAAAATAATGATATTCTAACTATATATCATGATCCAACTAAACATATATCTTCAAAAATAAAGTGCAATGGTAAAAATATACAAAAACTTGAAAGGGGCATTTACTTACCCACCCCAATATTCTTACATATTTACATATCTAGCATGTAAACTTGCACATTTACTAACATGCCATGATGCCACTCAAACCTTTGATATTAAATTAAAAACACGACAAACGCTAACTTTTTAAAAGTGAAATACACCTTCTCATGCATAAATTTTAGCATCAATAAATGTAAATATCAAACTTTAGGAGGTAGATATGTAAATACATAAGAATTGTGTGGCATGCATGTAGATCCATAATAGCCAACAAAATGAACTATAAATATGCTCCCTAAATAAAAATGCACCATACTCATTATAATAAAGTCATTTGAAAAAAATTAAATAAATAACTAATTTATTATGTAGATTTATACGAGGAGTGTTAACCAAACTCAAACTCAAAGAAAGCTAACCAAACTCATAAACTAAACCAAATGCAAATTCCCCACAAGACTCAAAAGTAAAGCCAATTAATTTAAAAATCAAACCAAATATTCATACAAAAGCTAAGAAAAAACTAAAACCAAATTCAATCCAACTCAACACAACCACTTGTACACAAATTCTTCCTAACAAAGTTTCACTAGTATAAGAAGGTTTTTCCTCATCATCAAAAGCCCTTCTCTTTACAAAACCTTCCAACACAAAGTTAAGAAAGCAAGATCAAGAAGCTATACAAACAAAAGGAATAATCAACACCTCCAAACCACCACAACTTACCTCTCCCCATCGGATCGGTGGAATGAGTTTGTAGTTTGGACGACGGAGTAGTACTAGACAGGTATGACATCAACGTTTGAGGTGTCTTCGCAACGAATAATGATGCCGTCGAGGCTTCCTGGCAATATGCATCTTGTCCACTGGCAACCGGTGGAGAGTGGCTCGGATGGGGGGACAATCATCAGCACATTCTCATTTCTCTGAACAACTCCCATCACACTCACAGTGCTCCCCTCCTTGATGTACCTTAAAAAAGAGCAAAATTTGAAGTTCTTAGGGGATGTTTGGTTACAAGTAGGATTTAGTAAATCAAGAAAAAATTAATTTTCAAAATTGTTTGAAATGATGACATGTTAAATCTTGTTTTAGAAGTTGAGATTATGAAAAGAAATTTTTAAATTTATTGAAGTTGGTAAATAATAACTTTCAAATCTTGATAATCTCTTCTAGTATTTGTTTTACAATTTAAGACTATGAAAAGAACAAATTTTTTAATATATTGAAGTTTGTGAAAGGTTGATTTACAAACTTTAATATATCTTAAGAAAATTTAACCATGAAGACTATTTGGAATTACAATGATTAAATCTTGCTAAAATTTGATTCTTTGGTTGTTTATTTCAGGATTTAAGGATTTGTGAAAGAAAGAAATCCTTCATGTCCATTAAATCCAAGGAAGATTTGCATACACGCCACTCAATACCTATCTATTTACCTGTGCATGAAAAAGTAAAGATTAGGTGTTGGATATGTAAATACATAGGAATTCTTTGGTATGTATGTAAATGCCCCTAAATCCTATTAATGGGGGGAGGTCAGTATTTAACAAATCATTGATTTAACTAACAAGAAAATCTCATCCATTTTAAGGGGAACAATATCAATCAGATGTTGAAGCACAAAAACAACAAAATGAATAATTAACAAAAGATTACCCTTCCTTTAAGCGCATCATCCGATCGTCGCTAGAAAGATTCCTCTCCCGCAACCATCGGAGGAACTCTGGCGACATGTCTTTGTTGCTCGCATTTATGTCGACAACGACGGATTCATCAACATATGGTGTCACCCTCGCACCATAACCCGTCTTAACCAACGCCCTTAACCCAGATTGAAAATCAGAGATGTAAAAGTTTACAACATGCCTCTGTATAAATGTGTTAAAAGCACCATAAGGATACCTCATTCGATATTAAAAAAAAAAAAGAAATTACACGATTGTTCCTTCATAAGCATGCAAGAAGATAATCTGCGAAAATAGCTGTTTTGCTTACCTCTACAGATCTTAATCCCCACGTTAATCGGCGATGCTGAGGATTGGCAGCTTTCGAGTCCCAACCCCGATATTCATATAAGCTGGTAGACGTGTAAACACATCTAGGAACTTTTTGAAATGAAGTTTCAAGAGGGACATTTCCACAGGTGACAACCTGAATATAACTTGAACAAGTTGTAATTTGTGCTAGGTGAAAGCTCAAAAATGTAAATTTGCAGATATTAAACCAACCAATTCATAAAATCAACCAAAATTTACATGCATAGCACACAATTCTTATCTCACACCTAAACTTTCATATTTACATACAAAGAACTTGGTGCTTTAAACCTGTGCATGAAAATCTGTATTTTACATTTAAAAAGTGGTAATAGTGCTATTTTTTATGCATTGTCAAAGATCCAAGTACTGTGTGTGTAAATATGAAGATTTAGAATGTGGTATATGTAAATACATTAGAATTGTCTAAAATCAATACCATGAACTTCAAGTAAAGCAGTACTTATTACCAAGATGAGCCTCTTAGCAGAAAAAAAATGATTTTTTTACAAAAACTAAAAAAGCATTTAAGTTTCATTAAGGTAATTTAACGAAGAACATACCCCTGAGACCTTGACATATTGGCCATTCTTCGCTGTTCTAAGCTCTGCATCAGGATACCGAGCAATGAATCCTATAATTGCCTTTCTCCCCAAACAGTGATTCCACAAGAAAAGTGCTGCAACAGCAGCAAAGATGACCACAACGACGAGAAGAAGAATGGCGTTGTGGACAGCTCCAAGTATAAATCCACCCGCAATGAAGCCCATCAAAAATAAGAGAATCACCGACCAGAGTATCGGCTTTGGCAAACTCTTCTTGAATGAATAGTCGTCTTCCCTACTAAGCTTCGTAACCATCTGGTTATTTGCTAGCGATGAAGTCTGCGGCTTGGTTGATCCAGAGGAATCCAAGGGACCGGATATTTTACGAGGGGCGCCGGAAGAGTTCAGCGGCCCGGAGGATATAGGACCAGATGTGATGAGGCCAGTCGTCGGAAGCACAGGGGGAAGAGGGCCTGAGTTTTGTCGCGATCCTCCAGATTGAGGGCCAGAAGTTTTCTTTGCTGGCTCTCCCGGTCGGTTCAGAGGTCCTGAATGTGATTTCTGCCTGCCTGAACCTCCTGTGACCATTGATGATCCAGATCCTGAAACTGTAGCAGTAGAAACATGGAAGCCCGTGAGAGAGAGAGAGAGAGGGAGAGAAAGAGAGAAGTAGAAGGCTTGGGTTGAAAGAACCTCCAAATGATCCAGTTCTAGATGGGGCATTAGTGATAGGTCCGGATTTCCTGGATCTGGAGCCATCAACAGGAATGTCAAACATTTTTCCGAGTTCGCCGGACTTTTTGATGTCTCCACCGGTGTAGGGCATGGCGATAGAAGTCATTGCCGGAGCCTTCTCCTTCGGTTGCTCCGGCCGGCCGGAAACATACAGGCCATTGCTGAGTTGGTGTGATGGAAACCTTGAACCCATCAAGCTACTCTTTTGAATATCTCAAAAGGTACCTGTTCCAAAGGTACAGAAGACGGTTATCTTCTTAGAGAGAAATGGATTTCTTCAAGCTTAATATTCTAGCCCCATTGCATCTGCAATAACAACATAGCTTGGGAAGGGAAATGACCAAGGAATGTTTACAACTCAACAATCACGTTGTTAAGAATAATAAGCAAATAAAGAAGACAAAAAATGAAAAAAAAAAATTGTATGAAGAATTGAAAATATGAAAAATGATTGAAAGGTTTATGAATTACAGAAAGAATAGTGAACCAAAAGTAATTTCAAAGAAGAATTATAAACACAAAAATAAATTAAAAATCTACTTTTGCAGAATTGTAAACAAAAGCAACAGAGTAAAAACAAGGAAATAAACAAAAATATCTTACCTAGTTGCCAGTATTGTCAAAAAATAAAATTTTAAAAACATTAGCATTTGATATCCATTTTCCATGGAGACAAAGTTAGTAAAGAAAGTAGAAACCTTCATACCCAAGTCCTTCAAAAGAGTTTCAGTGAGAATAATAGATGAGAATCAGAGATAGATGGACTGTCCTTTTAGCAAAATATCAAAAAAAAAAAAAGCTGCCAATGATGTTTCAATATGCATTTATCATCGATTAATAAGTTTCACTTAACTGATCGCCATTAAAGATACAGAATGGACCACAAAAGCATAATGTAACAAATTATATGCATTAATAGCATTTACATATTTTGGAGTTATCAACTTCAGAGATTAGATAATCATAATTTCTCCAAATGGCAATTCTCAGCTTTACACGAGAGAATCCTCATTTTTATTCTGTCATAGAAACAATATATCTTAAATTTAATGTTTCCATCCATCATCTAGGATAATATTCTAAGACTTCAACCAAAAATGTGAGAATAATATCCCAAAAATCATGCCATTATACATACTCTCCAGCCCATGAAAGAAGTAAATTGCTAAAGATAAAAACTTGTAATCATTCATAATTACTCTTACAGAATCTTAAATCAAATTTCTTTATTTCAATATCTCAGAAATGAGACCCCCCTATAGAGATCCATTTGATTCTTCTGCATCACTAGGTTAAAAGAAGGAACAGAGATTCCCATGAAAACATAATCAATAACAAACTATCAATAGAATTCCATAACAAGCAACAAAAGATGAATAAAACTCAAAAATAGAACAATTTATTGAAAAAGTGTGGACCATTCAGATTCAAATCTCAGCTTCAAATGCCATAAAAATCCAAAACAAGGAGTCAGAAATCTAGATATTGCCACATTAATAGAAAAAAAGAATCTAGTCATCCTGAAAACTAACTTTCACAGTGAAACTCCATGAAAATTTTGTTAAGAAAATCAAACCAATTGGAAAGAATGAACTGAGATCTCTAAATAGCAACAAAAGAATCGCACAATCGAGTAAAATCCAAGCCACGGCCCTAGTGCTCTTTCAAATCTACCAGATTTCGCCACAACTACCCGCGATTTCCACATCTGGAACCTCTAAATAAAGCTTCCAGATCTCAAAATCAGGATCTCAACCAAAACCCACATTCACTTTTCTGATTTCCACTCCAACTACACAGTAACCAAAACCAAAAACCTAGCTTTCCACCCACTACCTTTACAAAACCTCACATTTGAATAGCCCAAAAGAGAGATCTGCACCGCCATTAATTCAAAATAAGAGCTCAGAGGTCTAGATCAGAACCAGATACCATGCCCCAGATACCCCCCATATGGAAAAAATCCAAACATAGAAAGCAAATATGGCGACCAGAACTAAGATTTGCTTTACCTATAGTGGCCAATGGGTGCAGAAACCGCAGATCAAAGTGTATTAACCGATTCACCTTAATCTGGCATCGATGGCCATCAATTATAAGAGAGAAATAGGTGAGAGCTCTGCACCTGCGGTCGCTTTTGTTTTTTTTGTGTAAAACCTCCAAAAGAGAAGGACAGCAGAGAGCACACTTGAGGAGGGATACGATGAGACAGGAGAAAACCAAGAGATCATGGAGAATAAAAGCTGGTGAAGCTAAAAAAAATTGTAACTTGAGATGCAATCTTTTTGTTTATATAATTCCAATTTTATATGTCAAATTTTGCTTTTTTTTATCTTTCACATTTATTCATGATACTTACATGCATAAAAAATTTAATTTTAGCTATTTCAATGTAGATGGTCGCGTATCTGCTAATTATATTTCTTCATATTACTTGATTTAGTTTACTATTGGGTCAAATATCTCACACAGTTTAAATTGTCTAGTTGATTCAAGAAAAGAAAAGCTTCATTACAAATATATCATCATTTGGCAATCACCCATTTATTAATTATAAACTGGTTTTCTCGGTGAAATGTTGGATCTTTTTTTTTCAATATTATTAATGATATGAAAACAAGCTTGATGCATGTTGGATGATTTGTTGAGACAAAATAATTTTTAACGTATGTGTTGTATGAGACTATCGCGCACTCGGATAATAAAAAGAAAAGTAGGAGGAGACATCTCGTTTTCTTATGAGAAAAACCCTGAAAAGAGGAAAAATCATAGGGGTCCTAGTCCAGTTGAAATAATATGTTATGAATGGTAAGTACATAGTACCACTCTTTTTTTTTTAAGTTAGGGAATATGAAGTTACAAAGTTGATCATTGCAAATTTATAACAGTAGTTCATTGATAATATTCATAGTATGACTGTAATGAATGTATTTTTGGGTGATAGCAGGGAGTAAGGGTCGTAGTCGATTGTTATAGAGACAGTGATCCACCATAAATGTTGTAGGTGGTGCTTGTAGCATCAGCTTGTCATATAGGTCGTAGTTGAAATCCATGATAAGAATTAGTCGTGTGAGCTGCAGATGGTTGTTTAAGGAACGTTGGTGGGCTACAAAAGCTGTGGAAGGAGGGTATAGGAGTTGTGAGCCATGTACGTCACAGTTAATTACGTAAGTCATAGTGGTGAACTATGATGACGCCCTTTGGCTACAATAGCTAGAGTCGAGAGCTGCACGAGCTGTGAATGTAGGTTGTAGTTGGTCAAGTAGTGAGTTTTGATGACGTCCATAGACGAAAAATATCATAGTAGGGAGCTACACAAGTTGTGGATCAAGTTGGTTGTAGTTGGTCAAATAGGCTATAGTGGTGAGTTGTGATGATATTTGTAGGTCGTAGAACCCGGAGTCTAGAGTTGCATGAGTTGTGGACCATGTAGGTCGTAGTTGGTCGTGCAGACTATATTTGTGAGTTATGATGACATACGTAGACTGCAGAGGCATGAATTTGAAGTTGTATAAGTTATGGACCACGTAGGTTGTAGTTAGTCACGTAGGCTATTATGGTGATATGTGATTACGTTCGTAAGCCATAGAAGCTAGAGTAAGAAGTTGTATGAGTTTTGGACCACATAGATCGTAGTTGGTCCTGTAAGTCATAGTGTTGAGCTTTGATGCGTGAACAGAACACAGAGGTTAAACTATAGAGCCTCTTGACCTGTTGACCACATAGATATTAATGGCAAGCTGTGATGGCATCCATAGGTTACAAATGTTGAAGTTGGGAGTTGCATAAGTTGTGGACTACTTAGGTCGTAATTGGTCATGTATGTCATAGTGGTGAGTTGTGATGACATTTGTAGTCCACTGAGGTCAGAGTCAGATGTTGCATGAGTTATGAACCACATAGTTAGTATTTAGTCACATAAATCGTAGTGGTGTGATGATGTTTGTAGGCCACTGGGGACAGGATTGGGGGCTACCCACGTTATAAATCATGTAAGCAAATGTTTGTCACGCAGGCTGTAATGATAAGCTGTGATGACGTTCGTAGGCCGCAGAGTTCGGAGTCAAAAGATGCACGAGCTACAAATCGCATAGGTCATAATTGGTTGTGTATGTCATGGTGGTGAGCTATGATGACATCTATAGGCCGCAGAGGTTGGAGTCAAAAGTTGCATTAACTATGAACAACATAGAGTGTAGTTGGTCACGTAGACCATAATGGTGAGCTACAAAAACATTCGTAGGCTATAGAGGTCAGAGTCAAGAGTTGCACAAGCTAAGGACAATATAGGTCATAGTTGGTCGCGTAGGTCATAGCGTTAGGCTGAAAGGATATAGCATCAGGAATCTTGGAGAAAATCAATATTTGTGGGGTACATTATTACATTCTCTTTAATGGGAGATGTCATTGCATTATATAAGGGGTGTGTTGTTACATCATCATTGAGGAGTCTCGTCGAACCGTACTAGGGATGCCTTCTTACACCATCTTCGGGGAGGTGTTTGCACCATATGTAAGATGTGTTATTTTGCAGCATGTATTATTACTCTACAAAGTTCATTGGGATTCTGCAACGTAAGTCATGATTATGCAATGGGTTTCATTGCAACGAGTTAGGGATGACCGACGGTGATCGTCGGTGGCCGGCGAGTGTGAAAGACAGTGTTCAACGATTGTAAGAGTGGAAGGTATTCATCAAATCTGTGGTGGATAAGTGATGCTAGGCTTCAACTCCTCTTCCAAGCTTTAGCCTTCTTCTCACTTAAGGTTCCCCCCGTCTTCCCTA